CCCGCCCTCCCCCGGGGGCACACCCACCGCTGGCGGGTCTTCTTCCAGCGCTCCATGTTCCTATAGATGAGCGACGACATCGAGGGCAGGGGGCCGGCAGGCTGCAGCGGGAGAGAGAGAGCATCCGGGGATGGACCCCAGGGGCACAGTCAGCCAAGGAGCATAGTGCTGGGCAGCTGGGGAGGGCAGTGGTGGAGCTGGGGGGCAGCAGTCCCAGCAGTGCAACCAGAGCAGAGAATGGGGGCAGGCTGGGGCAGAGGGAGGAGGCCAGAGCTCAGCTGGCACAAAGCCCTGGGCGGGGCAGGGCTGAACAGTGGACCCAGCTGCCTGGGGCCCCTTCCTCACCGTGTCTAGGCGTGGTCCCCCCTCCTCAGGAGGCAGCGGGGAGGGTATCCTGGTACTCACCACCTCCCCGCCCGCACTCTCTGGGCCGGCACACGGAGGAGGCAGCTTGTACACGTCCTGGCTCTTCCCGTTCAGCCCCTCGGCCCCCTGGGAACACAGAGCAGTCAGGGCAAGGGAACCCCACACCTCCCCTCGGCCCCCTGGGAGCACAGAGCAGTCAGGGAAAGGGAACCCCACACCACTCCTCGGCCCCCTGGGAACACAGAGCAGTCAGGGCAAGGGAACCCCACACCGCCCCTCGGCCCCCCGGGAGCACAGAGCAGTCAGGGAAGGGGAACCCCACACCGCTCCTCGGCCCCCTGGGAGCACAGAGCAGTCAGGGAAAGGGAACCCCACACCACTCCTCGGCCCCCTGGGAACACAGAGCAGTCAGGGCAAGGGAACCCCACACAGCCCTCCCCCACCTCCTCATCCTCAGGCAAGGCAGGCAGTGGGGGGCTGGGTGAGCGCTCCCTCTCGCGCACGGCGGGGCTGTTCCTCATCCAGGCCCGGCAGATGGGGTACAGCGGGGTGCTCTCTGCAAACTGCGCCAGGTCCACGCTCCGGTCAAACAGCTTGATGATGTAGGTGTCTGGGAGTGAGGGCAGCAAATTCGTCAGATAGGAACTAGGAAGCCCCCCCTTGGAGGGAAATGCCCCATGTCCCATTCCCTGCCCCCCAGCTGGCCAGCCCGGCCCTGGGGTCAGCTAGAGTCAGCACCCCCAGGGGGGAAGGCTCATGTTCCACACCCACTTACTCTGTCTCTGCTGGCTGCCCTCGGTCAAGCTATCATCGGTCTCCTTCCTCTTCTTGCGCCGGTGATGGGAGAACCGGGCTGAGGGCCTGTGTGGGAAAGAGAGATCAGTGGGGACAGCCACACCCTGATGCCTCTGGGGACTGAGGCCAGGCCATAAAAGGGACTCCCCACCATAGTGGAGCCTTGGGCATAGAAGAGGAGCCAGCCCCTCCCCACAGTTATCCATATCCCAGTGCTGTGTGCCCCTATGCCCCAAGGGGCTCCTAGTATGGAAGGGCTCACTCAATGCTCAGGTGCAGCCAACTCTGGGGTGGGGCAGCGCAGAACAGCTGCATGTAACACCACAGGGAATGGCTCACCCAGGGCTGAGATGCAGCCAGTTCTGGGGTGGGGCAGCGCAGAACAGCTCCCTGTAACACTGCAGGGAGTGGCTCCCCAGGGGCTGAGAAGGCAGCTGGGGAAGGCAGCTGGGGAACAGTCACACAGAAATTCTCCAGCAATAGTCACTAAGCCCTTTTATGACAAATAACTGTGGCTTCAGAATGCGCCTGAAAGCACCGGGGCGTCATCACCCCACTTCAGGAAGAACTGAAGTGCTGATTGCAAACGGCCAATGAGAGAGAGAGAACCCAGGAGTTGACTCCCCCACCCCGCCCAACCCACCAGACCTCACTGCCCCCCCGGGCTGGGAGAGAACCGAGGCATCCTGATGCATGCACCCCCCAGTTCTAACCACTAGAGCCCAGAGCCCCAACTGCTAATCCATCTCCTGTGGGGGTGGGGCCCAGGCCCAGCAGCCCCATGGTGCCCAGGCAGGTGCTGTGCCCACCTCTTCCCAGCAGCGGAGGGGGAGGAGTCCCTGCAAAGACAAGAGAGGAGGTGGTGAAGCCCGAGGTGCAAGCCCCTCCCTGCCCGCCCACACCCTGCCCCGAGGAGAGGGGGAAGGGGCTCTGAGGAGAAGGACCGGCAGGTGGAGGGGTCAGTGGGGTGGAATCTGCCCAGATGGCCAAGGAAGAGGGAAGAACCAAAGGCCAGGAGCTGAACCCAGCAGGGCTCTGTGGGAAGGGGACGATCCTGTCACCCCCCAGCTCAGCGCTGGAATGCTACGGGCCCCCAGTGAAAGGCTCCCCCACCCAGCCGGGCTCCTTACTTGCTGAGCGGGTCGCTGGGCGTCTTCCCCACATCCTCATCCATCTGCTCCCTGCAAGCAGGTCAGTGCACATCAGAGACGGCCCAATCCCATCTCCCAAGGCATGTGGGCCCCAAGCCAGCAGGCCCGCCCGATGCCCCGAGGAGGGCAAGTCCTGAGCCTGCCAGCCTGCTCTCTGCCCTAGGGAGGGGGGAGCCAGGCCCCCAGCCAGCCTGCTCTCTGCCCTAGGGAGGGGGGAGCCAGGCCCCCAGCCAGCCTGCTCTCTGCCCTAGGGAGGGGGGAGCCAGGCCCCCAGCCAGCCTGCTCTCTGCCCTAGGGAGGGGGGAGCCAGGCCCCCAGCCAGCCTGCTCTCTGCCCTAGGGAGGGGGGAGCCAGGCCCCCAGCCAGCCTGCTCTCTGCCCTAGGGAGGGGGGAGCCAGGCCCCCAGCCAGCCTGCTCTCTGCCCTAGGGAGGGGGGAGCCAGGCCCCCAGCCAGCCTGCTCTCTGCCCTAGGGAGGGGGGAGCCAGGCCCCCAGCCAGCCTGCTCTCTGCCCTAGGGAGGGGGGAGCCAGGCCCCCAGCCAGCCTGCTCTCTGCCCTAGGGAGGGGGGAGCCAGGCCCCCAGCCAGCCTGCTCTCTGCCCTAGGGAGGGGGGAGCCAGGCCCCCAGCCAGCCTGCTCTCTGCCCTAGGGAGGGGGGAGCCAGGCCCCCAGCCAGCCTGCTCTCTGCCCTAGGGAGGGGGGAGCCAGGCCCCCAGCCAGCCTGCTCTCTGCCCTAGGGAGGGGGGAGCCAGGCCCCCAGCCAGCCTGCTCTCTGCCCTAGGGAGGGGGGAACCAGGCCCCCAGCCAGCCTGCTCTCTGCCCTAGGGAGGGGGGAGCCAGGCCCCCAGCCAGCCTGCTCTCTGCCCTAGGGAGGGGGGAGCCAGGCCCCCAGCCAGCCTGCTCTCTGCCCTAGGGAGGGGGGAACCAGGCCCCCAGCCAGCCTGCTCTCTGCCCTAGAGAGGGGGGAACCAGGCCCCCAGCCAGCCAGCCCTCTGTCCAGGGGGGACACAGCACCCCCAGAGGTAAAAGCCCCCCAGTGCCATTTTCCACATCCAAGCCAGCCAGTTCCCCACCAATAGGGTGCCCCCGAAAGGGAAAGGAAACACGTCCTGTTCCCTGTCCCCTAAGCCAATCTGCTGGACCTCTGCCCTTGGGGCAGATCAGAACTGGTGCCCCACAGAGGGACAGGCCTGGGCCCTGCACCCCAGTTTAGAGGGCTATTAGCTGATGATAGGGTGTAGCTGATGCCAGGTAAGTCACGTGAGGGGTCATGGGAAAGGTTTCAGCGCGCACTGCGCAGGAAGCTCCTCCTGTTCCCTCGGCAGGTGTGTTCCCCTGGGCAACGCCCACTAGGCAAGGCACTGGCAGTTCAGGCAGCGGGTGGGGAAGGGCCTGTTGAGGGCAATGGGCCATGAGGAGAAGCAGTGGGGCAGAGGGGCAAACCATGGCCCACCGGCTGCATCCAGCCCTTGTGCTTCTGCTGGGAGCACGGTCTCAGGCTTGCCCTGCTCCTGGGAACCGTGGCACGCCCCCTTCTGGCCAGCTCTAATGCATAGAGGAGCCAGAGGCCTCCATACGCTGCCTCCCATGCACTTCCCATTGGCTGGGAACCACAGCCAATGGGAGCTGCAGGGGTGGTACCTGTGGCTGAGGGGAGCGCACAGCACCTGGCCACGCCTGCATGTAGGCGCTGGCTGGAAGGAGGGCGTGCCACTGCTACCGGGAGCTGCTTGAGGAGGTAAGCGCAGCCCAGAGCCTGCATATCCCTGAGTGTTCCCACCCCTGCCCCAGCCGAACCCCTTAGCCCCCCACAAAGCAATTCCCTGCCCCAGCCTGGAGCCCCTGCCCACATTGCTGACTCCACCCCACAGCCCACACCCTCAACCAGAGCCCTCACTCCTCCCCACCCCTAACCTTGTGAGTATTCGTGTCCATCCTTACAATTCCCATAAACTGATGTGGGCCTAGGGCTACATCCTCCTCCCCCCCCCACCCCGCCCTGCCTCACATTATCAGTCAGCCAGCCCATCCATGGGACAGTTTGGGGCAGCCCACTGTCCTCCGGTTTGGAAAGTACCCCATATTCATTCAGCCAACTGTCCTCCGGTTTGGACAGTCCCCCATATTGATGGGAGCCCACAGGGCTCAGCTTCCTGGGAGAGGACCTGGGGGTCTGCTGCAGGGCGGCGGCAGCACGGCAGGGGCCACTGCACTCAATGCGGTGGCAGGAGCGGTGGGAAGTGGAGTGACGCAGCAGCTGGGGCAGAGCGAGGGGTGAAGCAGAGCGACCCGGCTGGGAGCAGGCTGCTGCGTGCGGCACTCGCTTCCCATGGCCCAGCCCTGTCAGAACCGCCAGCACCTGAGCTGGGAGGAGCCAGCCCCATGCAGGCTGTGCAGCTGCACTGGGTGCCCCAGCCTGTGCGAACGCTGATGGACAAGCAGGCTGGAGGCCCTCGGAGCTTGTCACAGTAGCCCAGTGTGAGAGGGAGCCCAGGCTCGTGGGCCAGAGGGCTTGGTGGTACTCCCACTTCTAGCTGGAACAGGCCTCATTCTCTCTCCCCAGCTCTGTTCTAGGCCCAACTCTGCCCCCCCACCCCACCCCCCACGTTTCCACCCACCGGTCCACATCGCTTTTCTCCAGCAGACACTGCAGCACGGCATCCAGGCGGCTCCGGGCGCTGGTTGTCTCCAGATCTGCAACAGGAAGGGTAACTGAGGCACACAGAGCCTTGGGTGATGGGGAGGGAAGAGAAGTCTGTGCCTCCCCACTCAGCCAGCCCCATCCAAAGGGCTTCCCACAGCACTGGCTCCCCCGGGGCTGGAATGCAGCCACCTCTGGGGTGGGGCAGCTGGGGAAGAGCTAAACACGCAAGCTACAAACAGCCAGAGCAATGGGGTCAGCATCTGGGCTCCTGGGGTCCTTCCAGGATTAGAACAGAACCCAGGGCTCCCAGCACACCCCCCCTGCTGTAACTGCGAGACTCCACCCCACTCCCATCCCAGAGTCCAGACAGTACCAAGGGAGTCCAAGCACTGTTTGGGAAGGAAGTGAAGAAACCTGTCACATGGGAGGGTGCACACCGGACGGGTGAAGTGTTGTGTCTGCCGTTACCCTGTAACTCCACACGTCTCAACACCTAGCTACTGCCGCTGGCTGCCTGTTTCGCCCGTCAGCACCAAGCCTGTGCTCTGTGGCCAGGTATTAGGCAGCCTTCATCCACGGCTCTGGATCCAGCAGCCCTGGTTATCAATGAGTCCACGCTCTGTCCAGCCCCAATTGCCCCCCTCGTGTTCGGAGATGTCCAGCCTTGCCCGGAGGCAAGCAGAGGGAGGTTTGGGGCTCCGCAGAGCCAAGAGCCCACAGCGTGTTACTTTAACGGAAGCTGCCTGACAGCAGAGTTCAAACACAGCCTGGGGTGGCTCATGGGTCACACAAGCCCCGTTCATGCAGCTCCACAGGGCTCTGCACTGAGCACAGCTGCCAGGCACCATGAAAAGGGAGCGAAAATGCTGGCAAGCGACTGAACCTTAACAAGCCAGATGTGGGGAAAGTAGAAACCTTCCTGGGTCCCTGCCAAGCTGGCTGAGCTCCAGGGGCCAGATCCATCCCTTAAAGGGGGCAAGATTCTTTGTCATCTTAGGGGACAGCCAGATCACTTGGAGTCTCCTGCCCCTCAGTGTGACATAGTGGGGGGGCTGTCCACTCTGGTGGCCTCGGGCCCGCTCTGGTTTGGCAGTCACTGGTTGCCGTGTTACCCCGACTGCCCTATGCTGCTCTGCAGGGACTGTGTGTGTGTCTGTGTGCACTGCCCAGGGGGCGGGGAAGTGGTCCCGAGGACAGGCACGTAGGCCATGGTCTAGCAACTTCACACCAGGCCAGGGGAAGGAGCCGCGCTGTATCTGAGAACCCTCCCTATTCTACTGGCTGGCGGAGTCACATCTTGCTGCTGATGGAGGCGCAGAGTC